TCTGGTGCTGGCCTATTTATGCGAAACTGGGTGAACATACAGCTTTCTTATGACACTGAATCACAGAAGAAAAAAGTCATTATTTTTACCTAAAATGACTGGAAAAAATGACATTTGCTAAAATGAGAAGTTAACCATCTTAACCCTGGAAAAGAGGGGCTTCCCACACAGAGCCTGGCACAGTGCCTTCAAGGGCATCCTGCATCCCTGCAGTGCCAGGGGGAGAAGTGGTGGAGTTTCCCTGGAGTTTCCCCCAGCTCCTCCGCCTCCTGCAAAGGGGTTGGGTGCTTAGAGCCTCTCATAAGAGTAATTAGGCTCTGGAATAGGTTCAGTCGCTAGTCTGATCCTTTTTAACTGTGGGTTTTGTCTTTTGGAAGCCAGATACTCTAATAAGGACTCGGCAGCTGAGGGTTTGACTTTGCTTGTACAGGAGTTCACGGTGTGGCAGCTCTGGGCTCTGTCCCTTAGCACGAAGGAACCTTCCTCACTCACTGCTCAAATCCTCCCCAGGCTGCACACTTTTTCACACCTTACACCAAATCATATTCTCTCTTTGAACCAAGAAACATAAGAGATTATCTCCTCCCCCACCCCGACACCTAATGGCAAGTATAATACAGAAAGCAATAATAGAAAGTTGAGAAACAGAAGGAGCAGGGGAGGGGGGAGGAAGTGTCTAGAGAAGCAGACAGAGTTGAGGGAGGCGGGGAAACCCCTGGCTCTATCAAATAAATAGAGCAGAAATCTTTCTTGCTTGGCCTTTGTGGTGTTATTATTAGAACAACCACGCCTGAGTGCACTAAAGCCGCACAACCTTCAAGCATCCACATCCAGCTCTGCTACGGCAGGGTCCTTTTCCTGCTTTGCTGAAGGAGGGAGGGAGAGTGAATGAGAGGCTGAGAAGATGAGAAGGGTCTATAAATGATAAATATGATCAACTTGGATAAAACAGCTATTTGGAAACCTTCAAAAATCTTCTCATGAGAACAGCCATTAGCGTATGTCTGTTTGACTTTGGTTGTCAGGAAACCAGCCAACGTTAATGGATCCACAGAATGTAATGGAGAATCCATTTAAATGGTCTCTTGTCGTTTTGTCATCCCACAAGACAAAAAAACAATTACTTTAACTCGGGAATGAAATGAACATGATAGTTTATATGATTCACTTGTATATTCTAAATTGATCAAAGCGCACACTAAAAATATATTAACAATCTGTACCTGATGCCTGAAATGCAGCATTTCCTATATCTGTACAGGCTTTATTTCTCATTCACTGTGGTGTCCAGCTGTTAATAATTTAAAGACTGTGGCTTTACAGTTTCTGTATTGCTTTATTTATTATGCTTATGATGATGATGCTGAGGGCTACAGCCACGCGCAGGCTTGGCGTTGTAAAAACAGCCTGCAGTGTAAAACACCGAGTGAAAGGCAGGGCTGGCTGAAAGAGATACCTTATCCCCATTTTACAGAACCAAGGCATAGAGAGTCTTAATACTTAACCCAAGCTCCTAGCAGAAGCATATGGTGAAGCTTTGACTGAGCAGGACTTCTGGTTGTCAGTACAGTGGTCTTTGACTGATGAATTACCCTGCCACAGGGTTGGCTTTTTTTCTTTGAGTGGAGGTAAGAAATTCAACCCTGTGCAGGAAATTAGATGTTCGGTGGTCGTGAAAGCTCATGGTCCACTCCTGCAGTTGCATCCTCTGGCTTCAGCTCCAAGCAGTGGTGCCCAGCTCCCAGGGGCCCATGACCAAAGAGCTGGGCATGGCGAGATGCCACTGCAGGAGCACAGCCAGTGTGCAAAGGACATGGAAGGACACATGCAAAGGACAATGTGCAAGGAATGAAGTGGAAGTGGGTCCCTCTTTTGGCAGGCAATCACATCTCGTAATTCCCTTCAGAAACAATGTGGGCTCAGTCATTTACCAGTGAGCTTCTTCCCTCTCTTTCCCCTTTTCCGGGCGGTTTTTCCAGAGCTTTGCTGCTCTTCAAGCATCCAGCCTAATTGCATTCATGGCGGGTTTATACTTATTTGTCCTTGGGCCAGCATTGTCCTCTACCCTATCCAGCACTTCTCCCTCCCTCTGAGCTTCTCCACCACCGCAGGCTGAGAACATTCATCCCCTCGTGGCTTTTTTGCCAGCTCTTTTAGTTTCTATTCTGGACCGCCTAGAAAATCCACTCCGTCTTTGGAGTATTTTAAAGGACTGTTCAGTTGTGTGTGTTGTGCAATATTTCTGCTTTCTTGGTGTCAGTGGGGCATATTCCCTGACATGGTGAATCAGAGTTCCTGCAGGGAAAGGCAAGAAGATACAGATGTGTGCTGGCTGGGGCCATGGCACAGGGTACTGTAAGCTTCTTAGTGCCCTATCATTTGAAGATAAGCAATGTATTTGTGCTTTATTTTTCTTCTGGTACAGCACTATGCGCAGCTCTGCCAGGTTTGTGGGCTAAGGGAGCCTTCTTGGATGGCTAAGGGGTCACCCCTTTATCTGTGAACAGCAATGTGTGTCTACATCAGCAAGCGTGGAGCAGAATTGTATTAGCTTGGTATCACTCTTAAGTCTCACACAAAGTATTTTAACACAACTCCCACTCTTCTTCTTTGTAAAACACTGCTGCCAAAGCCAGGAGAGCTTTCTACAAGTTAATTTTTGCAGCGAAATCTAGTCTTGTCTAATGAAATGTCTGAACATTTCATAAGTAGGTAAAACTTTGCACTCACTTGCTGAGTTCTGTCACAGACAACTACTAGAGCTGCAGTCTAGACAGTTTTTTTCTGGGAGTAGGAAGGAACTGCTTGTGCCTGCCGTTTCATTAGCCTCCAGGGTACAATTTATGATCATGAATATCACATATCCTCAGCAATATAAAGAATGGGTGGGGTATCATTACTATCTCTTACAAACTTTTGTCCCAAGATGAGCTTCCCACGGAGGCAGCGCGGCTCAGAACGGGATCGGAGCAAGTTGCTTTGTGTCTCAGTACCCTGTCTGTAAAATAGACCTAGTGCTTCCTTACCCTCAAGGGGTAAAAGAAATATAAAAATCAGCTCCTGCTAGTGAGATATTCACCTACTGCAGTGGTGGCAGACAGACAAGCCATCAAAAGCTCTGCTTGCGATTTGGCAACATTATGCTATTGCAACGTTGAAAATTTAATTAGTAAATCCTCATGATGAGCAAACACCTACAGGTTACCGTCATTCAACCTGCAAACCCCTCCACTATCAGTCATTTTTTTCTCACTTTGGTACCATTCCTTGCACTGACACCATGGCCAGTTGCATGGAGCAGCACTGCAAACATGCTGTAAACTGAGTGAAATCCCACCTGCAAAAATCCATTGAGAAGCAAAGCAAGGCTGCCTACTGGAGTTCAGGGTCCCTTCAGTGGTGCTGAAGCTCTGAGAACCTGAACTTCAGCAGGTCTACCACCATATTATACTACCACTTCCATCATGACACCCATAAAGTTTTGTGAACTGTGTTTTTTTCTTATCAAGGAAACTGATGAAGTCTGTCAGCATCCTGCACATGGCAGAATGGGTCTTGGGTTTCTCCCCTTGTGTCTGCTCACTCCTTCTCTTCTCCTACTGTACTTTCCCAGTTTCTTTCTACAAAACACTGATATGCCTTCAGCCGAAGTGAATGTTGTTTTGCATTAAACAAAACAACAAAACCAACAAAACACATGGCACACAGGCCGGGCCACTAACATCATTACAAATCCCTGGTAATGTTCTTTGTGGAAGAGGGTTCTGGCCATCAGTGTTGCACAGGACTGTGTTGAGATTGAAGCCACCTCTGCTCTGCTCATGGCGGCTCCTCCAGGCTCTCCTGCCAGAGAGGAGAGATGGGAGGGAGAACAGGGCCAGGGGTACTGCCACGTTTAAAAGAGATGAGAACAAAGGAGAGGAGCACGTGGCCAGTGCGGGGGGACCAGTCCAAGGCACACTGGCTGTTTGGCTTCTCAGTGGAAAGGGAACCCCAGGAGGTACCTCCACCACTCTTCCTCCTGTGCTTGAGGGAGCCTGTCTGCATCGTGCTGTGTTTTCCTGTGAGCAAAACAGCTGAGGAGGTTCCTTGGCATTACAAGAGGAGTTGACTGTTTTTATTGATGCCTGTAGAAGAACAAGCAAGGGCAATGCTAGAGCTGAGGACATGCCACATGCTCTGCTGCATTATGTGGGCTGCTGAGCGCAGATGGGACAAGCATGCTCCATGCAGCCAGCCAGGACAGAGCGCTGGCATCCCCCCTGGACATCCTCTCTTGCTTTGGCCTTGGAAAGCTAGCTACTGCCTATGCTGGGATTGGGTACATCTCCCCTGGGTCCCGGCACTCCTGACTCTCTAACCTTTAATGGACTTGGTTCCTGTAACTTTCAGAGGCAGACTTGTGGAATTTCTCGGTAGAGGGATTGAAGTTTACCTGTCCCTCAGAAGTCCCTGTCTATTAAGGGGACCTCTTTTGATGGGTGACAGTTAAAGTCGCTCAGCAGAGCAGGCAGTTAATCTCAGTCATTACACACTGGAAGGCAATGAACTAGTAACCTGTGTCAGAAATTAGTCATGTGTAACATGGTGTAGTGAAAGATCATATTGGCAGGAGAATGGGTAGATGGGAGACCCATTCTTCCCTCTGCCCTTGCTCAAAATGTCGCTGTGGGAAGGTTGCATAGCTTCTTTGTGTTTTCATTTTGCTATCTATAAAACAATTATCCCTTTAGTCCATACATTTAACACCGATATAGTAGCCTTGCACCTACTTGCCTCTATAGATCCATTTTCAGTCTGGCAAAAGAGCATTGTCTAAACGTGGTAGGGAAACACAGAGAAGATAATGGTCACTGTTATTTGGTGGGAGGAGAGGGGCTGTAACATCTCCAGTGCTCATTCTTGGTGCTGCTGTTCCAAGTGAGAGCCTTTGCTTTTCAGCTAGGTTGATGTAAAAAAGGCTAGGAGTCTTACCTTGCTCTCTGTTTTTTATCCTACAGCTGTCTCCAACCTGGATGCAGAGAGCAAACTGAGTGTCTATTACCGAGCACCTTGGCATCAGCAAAGAAACATCTTCCTCCCCTCCACCAGACCACCTTGTGTGGAGGAGCTGCACCACCACGCCAAGCAGCACCTGCGAGCCTTGCGCAGAGGTAGGTGCCCACACATGCTCTGACTCCATCTCCATCTCCCCACACATGATGCCTCACCACTGTCCGGGCAGCAGCAGGGTGCTCAGGCACAGGGCTGTGGGCACTGGTCTCCACTGGGACTTACGCACCCAGACAAAGAAATAAAACTGAAGATGTCATTCTAGCAGTAGAAAAGACTTATGCCCTCTTTAGCTTGTTTATGATTACTAGAGTAGAGCTGAGAAATACTTTTTACTCTTTCTTTTTACATTCTTTGTTTATATGTTTTTCTATTAAAGTGGATATGTCTGAATTGTGTGAGCAAATCCATGCACTGACCCCAAAAGGGTGGAGGCACTGAGTGTTCCAGCAAGGCCATCTTGTCTCCCTCCACTGAACAGATGTTAAACAATGCCTCACGTCCAGGAGAGATAAGATTTAACTTCCTGAGGGCTGAAACTGAAGCCCAGTGGTATTACAGAGTCTCCACAGAAACTGAGCTGTCTGCATGGAGTTTCCAAGCATGATACCAGAGCAGATCTGCATCCTTCAAGGATGGCAGCTGAAAGCCAGGTGATACCCTGGACAGCTTGGAAGGGCTGGGTAGGTGCCCCCTCCCCAGGATAGGGAACACCTTCTGGCATTGCCTAATTAATGGGAGACCTGTAGCCTCAAAAAGTTGGAGACCAGGGTGACAAGGTCCCTCCCACTGTAAGTGAAGACAAGGTACGAGATCAACTCAGGAGCCTGAAGATATACAAGTCCATGGGACCTGATGAGATACATCCCAGAGTCCTGAAGGAACTAGCTGATGTAGTTGCCAAACCACTTTCCATGATATTTGAAAAATCATGGCAGTCAGGTGAAGTCCCTGCAGACTGGAAGAAGGGGAACATCACACCCATTTTTAAAAAGGGTAGAAAGGAGGACCCTGGGAACTACCGACCTGTCAGTCTCACCTCTGTGCCTGGGAAGATCATGGAACAAATCCTCCTAGATGCCATGCTTGGGCACATGAAGGACAGGGAGGTAATCCAGGACACCCAACATGGCTTTACTAGGGGCAGGTCCTGCCTGACTAACCTAGTGGCCTTCTATGATAAAGTGACTTGGTCAGTAGACAAGGGGCAACCTATGGATGTGATCTATCTGGATTTCTGTAAGGCCTTTGACACGGTCCCCCACAACATCCTGATTGCCAAATTGGAGGGGTACGGATTTGATGGGTGGACTGTTCAGTGGATAAGGAACTGGCTAGATGGTCGCATCCAGAGGGTGGTACTCAATGGCTCAAAGTCCAGATGGAAACCAGTCACAAGTGGTGTTCCTCAAGGGTCCGTGCTGGGGCCGGTGCTGTTTAACATTTTTATCAATGATATAGACAGGGAGATTAAAGGCACCATCAGCAAGTTTGCGGACGATACCAAGCTGTGTGGTGTTGTCGATACACCAGAGGGATGGGATGTCATCCAAAAGGACCTGGACAGGCTGGAGAGGTGGGCCCAGGTGAACCTCATGAGGTTCAACAAGAGCAAGTGCAAGGTTCTGCACCTGGGCCGGAACAATCCTCGCCACCAATACAAACTAGGGGGTGAGGTGTTGGAAAGCAGCCCTGAGGAAAGGGACTTGGGGGTGCTGGTGGACGAGAAGCTGGACATGAGCAGGCAGTGTGCAGCTGCAGCCCAGAAGGCCAATCGCATCCTGGGCTGCATCAAAAGAAGCGTTGCCAGCAGGTCCAGAGAGGTGATTCTGCCACTTTACTCTGCTCTGGTGAGACCTCACCTGGAGTATTGTGTGCAGGTCTGGAGCCCTCAATACAAGAAGGACATGGACCTGATGGAGAGGGTCCAGAGGAGGGCCACAAGGATGATCAAGGGGATGGAGCACCTCTGCTACAAGGACAGGCTGAAGGAGCTGGGGTTGTTCAGCCTGGAGAAGAGGAGGCTCCGGGGAGACCTAATAGCAGCCTTCCAGTACCTGAAGGGAGCCTACAGGAAGGCTGGGGAGAGCCTGTTTAGAAAGGCCTGTAGTGACAGGACGAGGGGAAATGGCTTCAAGCTGGAGGGGAACAGATTTAGATTGGAGATTAGAAGGGGGTTCTTTACTGTGAGGGTAGTGGAGCACTGGAACAGGTTGCCCAGGGAGGTGGTTGAGGCCCCATCCCTGGAGATATTCAAGGAGAGGCTCGACGAGGCCCTGGGCAACCTGGTCTAGTTGGGGGTGTCCCTGCTGACTGCGGGGAGGTCGGACTAGATGACCCTTGGAGGTCCCTTCCGGCCTGGGAAATTCTATGATTCTATGATTCTATAAAACCAGATCACGAGACACAAGGAGGGAGTGGGAGCAATCAAGGTCATAACCAGGCTCCTGGATCCCTGCCATAAAGGGAATTTACTAGGTGCAAACATCTGGATGGTCCTACAACAGCACAGTACAGGGAAGACAAAAGATGGGAAAAGGTCTGTTTTCACTGGGAATCTAACCAAGAGAAAATTCTTACCGGGAAGCAAGTAAAAGTAGGCAAAGAAGCCTGTCTTTCTTCTGCACCATAAGGAAGGAGAAAGTCCATGCAGGTCACCATTAAAATGTTCAGTAGCAGCCCCTGTGTTGGAAGTGTTTCGCACCAACAGCTATCATTGCCTTGCTCATTTATTATTGTTACCATGTTATAATAATAATCAATTACTTGGATCTGCAGAGCATCTGTTAGCTGGATAAAATGTTCCAATTCATTACTGTATTTGACCCTCTCTGCAGATTTTAGCTCAGGAACACACTGTGGGTGCAGTATGTCTTCATAGCACTGCAAAGAGCGCTACAGCCAAATTGCAATCGCAGTAGCGTTGGAGCAGAGCAGAAGTTGGCTCTTCTGTTCTGGGCAGCTCTGCTTTGCAATTGTCCCAGGACCAGGCTGATCTCTGCCTGCCATCTTGTGGGCAGGAGAAATCCTGACAGCAGCCTGGGAAGGCAACTGTCAGAAAATGCCTCATCATTTTAAAGTTACAAATCTCCGTTTTGGCAACTTCCCATCCTCCCTGTTTAACAGCAGCTGTGCAGGTTCAGCAGGCAGCTTGGCATATGCTGCTTTATTTTATTTTGCAAATAACGGCATATATTGGAGTGAAATTATAATCGGAAATTTACCCTCAACGTGTTTATTGCGTTGGAACTGTTTCTTCTATCAGAATTTCATTATCTCTTTATCTATTTAACCGGGAATAATTAAAACTAAACATTAGATCAGAAAACAGCTATGCTAGCAGCAAACATTGTTGGACGGACTGTAGCTATGTGCATCAGGTGAATCCATCGTCCCCTTCTAGCAGCACTCTGTAAACAGTAATTATGTGACTGTCACCTAAAATTAGGGATGGGAAGTCCATGAGCATTCTCCCATTCACTTGGAAGCTTTCAGAGATTGGGACTGAGCCCAAGGTGAAGGAAGACTCCTCTAGACCTGGGGTGGAGAGATCTTGACTTTTTCAGGATGATCTCTTCCATGCCAGGACACAGAGCTGCCACTGCAACAACCTTAATGATACCAAGATGTGATGCTTCCACACAGCCAGGGAAGGAAATCCTGCCTGGGGCTGTGTTTCCTTCTTTCCCCTCAGAGCAGTATATTTTTTATAGGTAGAGTGCAGGCATTACTGCATCTCAATGTTTCAAGGCAACTTGAGCTGCAGGTTCCCATTAGGAATCGGGCCTTGAGTCCCAGGCACCTAGAAGGTAGCTTCTTTGTCACTTGAGATAAAGGGTATAAATCCCATGTGGGGAGAATTCAGCTTCAGGGCACACACTGGGGTGTGTTGTATGAGTGTTGCTCTTCCAGGACGTCCAGTAAGTGCTTCTCCTCTTCAGTTGCAACAGGAATCATAGGTACCAGTCAGTGGGAAGGAGGAGGATCTTTGGAATCTAAATCCTATTTGTCTTTGCTGTGCTGTTACTAGAGATGTTTGTATGTTTTTAACACTCTAAAAGACTCGTGTCTTCTTTCTCTTCCAAAACAGAACATCGAAGCCGAGGTGATAACAGAGAGCAAAAAGTCCAAGGCCCCATTGCTGTGGTGGCTCCCCCCTTTCCTCCCTTCCCTGCAATCCGCAGTCAAAAGAGGCAAGCGATAAAGGACCGGCACTTCCTACCAGTAAGTCTTTCATTACAGCTATCACCCACAAACACGGTATTAGCCTTGTGGAACCTAAGTGTGACAGGGCTTCACAAGTGCCCCCCCCCACTCCCTCTCCCCAGGCCTGTGCAGGTACAATACAGCTGACCTTAAAGACAGTAGCACAACTCAGGTCGCAGCTTCCATCAGCCAGCCCCAGAGTGCACATTTCCATGTGGAAAACTCTTATTTTTCATCCACCGCCAGCACACGTAGGCATTTGTTCACACACTCCTCCACAACCCTTCACATCCTTTGTTCCTGTTTTAGGCAGCATTTCCAGGACCCTCCTGTATTTTCAGTAGGTGCTGTAATTTCATCATTTCAGCCCTGGCATTAGCGTTGCCAGGAGCCAAGAACTCAAGGGCTTTGAGTGCTGGCTTGAGGCTCACACGGGTGCAGAGAGGCTTCTCCAGCTACACGGAACTAAAGTTTCCACGTATGTATGGGCAATGGTCCTGTTCTGCTGTGTCCACCTCCATGCAGTTTTTTTCAGGTGCTGCATTTCTCACATGTGTCCTTGCAGCCAGCCAAGTGGGATCTCCAGCTGAAGATCTGGTCTGTATGTCTGTGCTGACTTGCCCCTGTTGCACTAATTTGAAATGAAATTAGTGTTGACAACATGGTATTTAGCATTGTTAAAGGAAATGCACCAGATCCAGAAATTTATCTCTGATTGTGTCCCTAATTCCCACGAGTTTCAGCAGGACTTTGGTACCTCTGTTGCTCCAGGTGTTTGACCCATGAAAGTGCCATAGTAGATAAATTCTATTCTGTTCTAACAGCCATTGCATTCTTCAAACCAGTTTTCAAAACACAGACCAGAGCTGGATTTGGATTGTAAGTGATGCATATGCCTAATGCCAGCCCTCAGCGTGGGGATAGATGTGTCTCCTGCATCTGCAGGTACAGGGACATTGGCATCTACAGAGATGCTACACTTGTGAGCACATTATAAGTGTGTAGCCACTGCTTTGTCACCTGCTTAGCTTAAAAATCCAAGTACATTCATCCTAATCTCTTATATTAACCATACAGAAACACTGTAATGGTAAAGGGGTCAGTCACAGTGTAAAGCTGTCGAGGTCGCCTGTCCAGGGACCAAATTTTAGCTAATTGGTCCATAGAAAGAGCTTTTTTTCTCATTTGAAAGCATAAAATGCATGACAAGGTTTCAATTAGCTTGACATTTCTGGCTTTTTGGCTGCTTATCTGGAAAATTTTGAGGAAAGCATCACCATCACTGCAGGCTTTGAACTGCTTAAATTTGCAGGCCTTATGATTCAACTGAAAGAAAAGATCCTGATGTTAAGGGACAGCATAGAAAACTATTGGAAGACAGAAAGGAGAAACAGGCTTACCTGTTTCTTCCTTATAAATCATCATCATCAAAGCTAGCACTGCTGTGGGGTCATTGAAAGGTAAAGGAGAGGTGACTCCCCATTATGGATCAGATCTAGTTACAGATAATAGTTTGGACCGTATATTGAACATAAAGCTCTCTTAGTATCAGCTAGAGACTAGGGCATGCCTTTTGGAATTGCATACTCACTGGTGAAAGGCCTGAATCTTTGCTGTGTTTGGAAAACAACCAGTGCGTTTTAGACATTACTTCCATCTGCAGAACACAAAATAATAATAAAGAGTGAGCAACCCTCTGAGTCCTGTATTAGTTGGCGGAGTTAAGTCATGCTGAATGCAGATGACTTGGCTTTATCAGCAAGTCCACCTTTTTCTTTTCAAGAGGGAAAATACTAAGCTTTGTGCCCACCCATATTGGGCCTTTTTTTGGAAGCTGACCAGGTTCAGCGTTCCCCTGAGGAGGAGCAAACAAGAGCTGCTTGGAGGTTGCCGTCCTATCGATTTCAAGGCATCTGGCAATGTTCTGCTTTGGTAATTGCAAATACGCCAAGGCCAAGAGTACTTCAAAGTGCCTTGACCCATTTCTGAGAGAACTCCTTGTTCATGGAGCAACTGCAAAAAGAGAGAACAAGGCAAGATGAAGCTGCAGACGAATGCTCTGTCTGGCAGAAGATTAATCAGAGATTTTTACAAGACGCTGCAACAATGAATAACTAATTGATATTGTGTCAGCCTTCATGACTTAATGATATCATTACAAGAGAAAGTTGAGAGCGCTGTTATTGGCTCTTTTGCCCTTTTTGGCATAAGCTTTCTGACTTCTGCAAATGTGTATCTGCTTCAGGGGCTGTCGGTAGTGTTTGGTATCTGATTCCAATTGATTGTATCATCTATTTGTCAATGAACTAAAGATATTAAATACTGCAAGAATTTTTAATCGTGGCATAGCAGTCTGTTCTGTATTCCACTTTTCAGATGCACTGGAAAGGTGCTGGGGAAAGCAATATTAAACAATAATAGAAGCCCCCTTCTGTGTTTCTTATGAATTAGGAAAGGGATTGTTTCTTATAAATTAGGAAAGGGATCAATGAGAAGCTGGATTTTTTTTCAACGTTACAGGATCTGACTTTTCTGAACTGACTGTCTAGGTTAAACACATCCATTCAGGCACCGAATTAAGTGGCTTGATTTTGAGAAATGTTCAAATTACAACTATGAGGCCTGTGAGAACTGTCACTACTGAAAGCTACTGCAAAACAGGTCACCTCTGTCTGAGACCAGCCAGATTCCACATTTGTCCATTTTGGCTGCTGTTTTCATTGCTGCCAATTCGGTGGCTGTGAGCTTTTCCAAAGATCCTGCATACTGTATAGTAAAGCTAGAGAAAATCAACCACAGCAGATGAAGATTCACTTTTTAGCATGACTATTTTCACAGGGAGGAAGATGCCAAAGGCCCACAAATTCCAAGAAAGACCAAATGAAATCAAGAAGTAGAGAACTAGAAATGATTGTGTATCATAGGATCTTTTGTGTCCCTGGGCAAGACAAGTTTGGAGTTAGCTTTATAATCTATTCTTGTTACAGGAACTGCCCTGATTTATCTGATGAAAGGTCCACTTAGCCCAGGGGCCAGAAGGGGATCTTTCAGGAAAGAGTATAAGAACAGGGCATGATTTGTGCTGTTTATTACCCCATGATTTATCCTTCCAGTTTCATACAGAAATTGTTTACAAAGTTCCTGAGCCAGAGATCAAATACAGAATAATAGCCACCAAGGAACCTGTTTGTGTTGACTTTGAGACTTGTTTAATCTATTTTGTTAGCAAATTTACACCTTTAGCCTCAACAGCATCCAGTGACAATGACTTTAATAGTCTGTATGAAAATGTATCTTTTGTTTGTTTCATACCTGATGTCTCATAATTTCATGACATTCCTTCTAGTTCTTAGACTGTGAGGAACAGCAAGCACTGCTTCCTCATTCCCTTTCTCCAATCCCCTCCTGGTTTTACAGACATGATTTTATTTTCCTATCCATCCCAGTCATTCATTTTTAAAGCTGAAAAACTCTAGCATGCTTAGTCTCTCTCTACACAGAAGAACTATACAACCAAGCATATTTATTAGTATTGCTCATTTAGGCATTTTTGCTAATGAAGAAGAAATAAAAAAAAATAATCCAAAAATAGTCTGAGGAGAGTACAAGGAAGGTATGGACTTGGGAAAATGAGGGAAATATTCTTTACACATGTTCCCATGACAACCCTGCCTGTAGCACTGCTGAGGCCAGTCACTGAGTGTGAAGATGCTGTGTCATTCCAACAGCATTTCAGCCTTCTCTTTCATTTTCTCTGCATTTTTTCTGTCTGGTTTTCCCAAGTCCATCCAGCCAGGCTCTGAAATCTCAGTGCTTAAGTTCAGGGTGTCATGGGACAATACTTTCTCAGACCCCTCCTGGCACAGCTGTTACAATAAAACAAGGGAGATGGGGCAAGGAACTAATAATATTTGGAAATTCACACTCAAAATTACGCAAAAGGTCAGTGCCTGTTCATAACTCTAAGCAGAAATCTAAGGGACAAGAGCCAGGGACAAATCTAAGTGACAAGAAGCAGGAGGTTGCTTTCTAGCCAGGCTTTGCCTCTCCCTGAGACCTCAGCTAGAGCGAATGTGAAGAGAAAATAATGCATCAGGTAATTTATTCCATCTCCCTGCCATTTCAAAAATATTCCTTATGGTCTGCCTTAGCATGTTTTGTACAGCAAAGGGAAACACTGTTGACTGTACTAACTTTCAGACAGTTTTGTGCTGAAGCCATACAAAGGCTCAGTAAAAAATAACTGAGTGAAGCGCCAAGCACGAGTTGGGCTAAGCAATTTCTGTGTGCCAGCCCTGCCTGCAGCTGTTAGAAATAAAACCTACAGGGCATTATTCATCAGAATGAACTTGTATAGCACTATTTGTGCAATGAGCCTAATACCTACTACCCCGTATCGTGGGATTATTATTTTGTACCTTCGTCTGCTGGAATGCCATGTGTGGTATGACTTCTGTCAGAAAACACGTCTTATTTTTGTCTTTATCTTGTCAAAACACTGGCGCAGTACATTAATCGTTAAAGGATTGTCACTACTTTAACAGAACACATTTGTGATGCTCCAAAAGAAAAGAAAACACCCACAAGCAGATAAAACAAAAACTTGAGGAGAATTAAATATATTGAAATGTAAACGTTGGGAGCAGGCAGGTGAGCAGGGCTGTGTTTTGCAGCAGAAACGACACTGCCAGAAGTATTCCTGTTGTTTTCTCCTCAGCATCAACTGACTGCGTAAGAAAGCTGCTGTACAGATATGAATTTTAATTTCTAATTAAGTAGTCAACTGTGCTCTGAAAACACTGGAAAACTGCTAACCTTTTATTAGTATTTCTTCTCCTTTTACCAGACCTTTAATTTTTCCAACATGTAAATCAATACCATTTTCCTTTACTCCTGCAAGTTAATGAAGCAGCAGGAAATGGAGACAGGGAGGTTTCACCCAGGGCCACAAAAAGGACTCACACAAGTGTGGGATTAAAAGGTAGCCCACACTCATTCTACATGTTACCTTTCCAGTATGTGAATGATTGCTTTCAAATGTTAAGTCAGGATGTATTGTTAATAACATTACAGATTATTTCTGTGCCCATGTAGGGTGAAAGTATCCTGCATGTATATGTTCTGTTTGCTGATGGAAATGGATCATATTTGAAGCTTGCAGATGCTGAAGCTACATGCTGATGCTCTGCTTGGGTGGCTATCACCCGTTTTATTCATAAGGTCATCCTGGGAAGGACATTTCACCCACCTGGTGCTATAGAAGCCTGAAGTGAGAAATAATCTCAGTCCCTTATACTTTTTGTTAGCTGCAGTTCATTCTCTATTCTTGGGTTTATGTTTCTCCCCTCAGCATTGCACTGTGTTCAGTACACCCTGTACACTAACTTTGAAATCCCAGTATCTCCAGTAGTGCTATCACTATAGGTAAGGCAGCCCAGATACATGATTTAATGCAAATGACACTTCTTGCACTAGTCTTGCCTTATGTCATGAAGATGCTGAAAGACAGTGGCATCTCAAAGCTTTGGAGGCTGCAAAGCAGAAGAGGGGCTTAAATGCCATTTTTGTCCTGTTATTGGTCCATTCATGTCCTCCTTCTCGGATCCCAGCTCTGGGACAATAAATGGGGCAGGCCTACAAATGGCCAGACTGGCAAGGTTGTCGACTGCTAAATTGCTTCTTTGTCACTGCACTGATGGTGTTTAAGATTTTAATTTGCTAGGAGGGTGAATCTTGTGTCCTGACTCAGATACCTGCAAGTAACTCTAGGCTCTTCCTAAAATCAGTGGGGAGAGCGTTGAGAGGTGCTTCACCTCACCCTGAGTTAGGTGCTGGAAGAAGGTGAGCTGAATTGCCCTTGCTGTCTCCCTATAGGATAAGCCTTTTTGACTGGTTCAGACTTGGACAGCTGATTCTTTTGCTATGGCACACGAAAACCAAAGACTTTCACGTCGAAGAGACAGAGCACTGAGAAACCAGATCCCATGCATATGCAACCAAGATTTTTACCGCAAAGCAGTTTCACAAGCACAATGGCACCTCTGCAACTGAAGTTGATGGGATAGCTCACAAAATAAAGATGTTCACATTTGTCAGTGACTAGAGAATAAATCCCTATTCAAGCAATTACGCACTGGTTTGGTTTCAAAGCAATCTTAGCCCATTAAAGAAAAATGCCTATTTAAAGTATGCTGGCTTTGTATTTAACAGATTGATTATCACCGTTGCTGTATGCCAAGCACACCCACACAAAGGAAGTTCACTTTGAAAACTGCCTAACTGCAGATTTGCCCATCAGACCAGAACAGCCTTGGGTATATAATAATAATTTCTTGCTTAATTACGTGTTTACTCAGGACATTTAGAGATATTCTGGTCTTCTGAGTGAATGAGAACATTTGAAGAGCAGCAGCTCGCTCTCTCAGCCAGCGTGGAGGTGTCAAAATGCTGAGGCTGCTGCTCTATGCCAGCATGCCCCAGCTGCCCAGTGGCAGGCACTGTGTGGGAACAGGCAGTAGGTGACCTCGAGACCCCTTGGCGAGGTAGAGGTGGCACCAGCTTTCTCAGGAGCACCCCTGTGATAGCAGGAGCTGAAATTTTGCTGTCACCTCTGGTTTTGTCCTACCTCTTCATGGTAGGAACCTACCTAGAAAGTTTGTCCTGCTGTCCTTAAACAAGGACCTGAGACTTTGGCACATCAAGTGATGGCTGTGGGTACGTGTAACCGGACGGGTGTTTTCTTGGGTGCGTTAGGCAGAGTGGCACATGGCAGAGGTAGGAAAACCATGCACCACCAGCACAGACGGGTAGCCAGACCTTGCTTGAGGTCAAAGTTGAGGTCCTGCTGTTTCTCCCAGGTAGGTTTGCCTCGAGTGGCTTGTGCATGTAGCTGTGCTCAGAGCTTGGGCTGGGAAACCCCTCCCATCCTCTTCTCCTTGTGTGCTGACTAGGCATCATAGGCCTTTGTGGAACATTTCCTGAACTCTTGTCACCTCAGCAGCATTTGTCTCCCCCTGTCTTGACCCTCCCCAGACATCCTCCGACACTTTCCACGAGGAAGCTGAATTTCAGTTCAAATCCTGATCCCATTAACAGCAGTCAATCTGCTCAGAGCAGGTGACTGGAAACTCAGCCAGGAGTCCAACAGTGAAGTGATCCTTGGGTATCTGAAGAGTAGACTGAACTAGTTGATGTACTTAGTGTCTCCACAGCCTTTGTTGCATGAACAGAGGTATTTCTCCTGGGAAAAGGACTTTCCCCAGCTTGAGAGAACCGGTTTTGCGCTGACCTGGGTAGAAAATAAGCTGCTGAAAATGTTAACTGGGAACAGTCCTCTTTTGATTGCCCTGCCCTGCTTTTCCGTAAGGCTTATGGGTGGCTTGTTTGGAGGCTTCCCATGGTTTTAGTCCGGCACATGGGACCAGGGCAAAGCCTATCTAGGAAGAGACTAGGACAAGATGAAGAATTGGGCCTTTTGAGTCTCACCGCAGCCTTTTTTTTGAGAGGAGACTATATAATGCAAAGTCTTTAAAACTGAGGTTCATGCATCACAGCAGTGTTGATAAGGATTGGGAGGAAAAACATTCATAGGATTATTTGGCAGGTCTGCTAATTAATGCAGGGGGGGACAGCAACCCCCACCGAGAAACATGTGCTAGAGCTTTCTAGTGTGATCTACAGGCCTGTTTTCTTTATCTCCTTTTTTGTTTTATTTCCTATTTCAAAAGAAGTCATCCTTCACTCCGTGGTTATGAAAACAGGACATTGCAACAACCAAGCCAGTTTCTGCCAGAAGAGGATTTCGGAGGTTCAGGGATTCAGCGAGACCCAGGACACTGTGGGCTCCTTTCAAGCCTTATAAAAAGTGACAAAAAGCCAATTGGCCATTGTCACCCTGACACAATGATCGCAGCCTTAGAGATGTAACGATAATGTCAGAAAACCTTAGCAATCAATGTGTTTATGAATCACCCTCGGGATCAGCATTATTTATATCCATTGCTTAAGTACGTCATGCAAAAAATTTCCCTTATATTATGAAATAGATCATTTATAATGTAATTGGATACATACCTTGTGCTGCTTCAGCTCCAGGCAGTACACAGTTTGAGCTACCAAATCAATACAAGACATTCTTGGGACAATTTAAGCGTGTCTGTACAAGGAGGTTGAACCAATTTCACTGCAGTTTTGTCTAATCCAAGTAAGCAAAATCAGCACAGACTTCACAGGGGTCCAAACCACTCTGTGGGCACAGCTGCTTGAGCTGCATTTTGTAGAGGAGTGTTCTGTTCTGGGGAACAAACTCATCAGTAGGAAGTAGGGTGGAAATCTCAGCTTGTTTTGCCTCTGTTGCTAATTTATCCGGACAAAAAATGATGTGCTTTTACCAGAAACGTTTTGTGTCTGTTTTTAATTTTAATTTTTTTTTTTTTTTTACATTTCACATTTATAGTTTAACAGCACCCGTTCGCCCTCCCCAATTGAGTGTTGCCACATGACCCCCTGGAGTAGAAAGGTACTGGAAAAACAAGCAATCCTCAACTAACAGCCCTGTCCCACTCTTCTCCTTTCCAGATCCTAACCCTTCCTCTTGCTTGCTTTTCACTTGCTAACTTTACTGCGCTAAAAGAAGCCTTTTCTGTTTTTCTCATGGTAGTAAGACACAATAATGACTTTTTTTTTTTTCTTCGCTTCTTTCATTCTTCACCTTGGATGGGTTTCAGGAGCTCGTGGCCACGAGGCCACCTCCTCCTATCGCCTCCTTTAAAAGGCCTGAACCGGGACAGACTCAATAGCATTAGCGATTGCATTTCATTCTCTTGCAATGTTCTCGCCAAACCGCCCCTTTTCTTCTTTTTTTTTTCCCCCTGAATGGTAAGAAATTGTTCGGGCAATGCCAGCGCGACAACGGGTATTTATTCTCTGGCCATTTGGTGATGCCACTGTTTGGAGAGGAGGAGCTCTGGCAGCCAGGGTCACTTTGCCCGCTTTGTCCAGCGCTTCATTGTCATCCAGGGGAGGAATCAGCAACAAATGCAGCCTCTGTGTGTGTGTGTCTGTGTGTCTGTGTGTCCGTGCGTGTGTGCAAGGGTTGTTGTGGGTTTTTTTGGTTTTTTTGTTTTGCATGCATGCATCAAACTTTTGAGGAGGGGGGGAGAGTTACCTAGGAAACAAAGTCTTTTGTGCCTGAAGTTTATATGAGCCATTCACGTCTGCCGGGGATCGGCACAAAAGCTGCAGGCGGAGGGAAGGCTGCGATGTTGGACTGAAATCCTACGTGGGGAAAAAGGGGGTTTTCTGCGGGTGGGAGGAGGAGGCGACGTGCGTTGTCTCGGGTCTGGGGGTACCGCAGGAGGTGCCGCTGGCGAGGAGGTAAGTGCGTGCCCCCCCAACAGTTTAAACAGTAGCTGCTGAGTTAAGATCTGAAATGCTTTTGGAGCCGGGGCGTAAATGCTGTTTGGCAAGCCTGAGACGGTTAATTCCCCCCGGGATTTGTGAGGAGCCTGGGCGGAGGAATGGCAGGAGTACAATGGCAGCCCGGGTGCGATCCTGCCGGTCTTCAGCACCCGCCTGCCCAACGCCCTGCCAAGGAGCTGGAGAGCAATGTTTTAGCTTCACCGTGTTTGCTACCGAAACTAAAACTGGCAAATGAAGTGTAAACAGCAGGCGTGAGGGGGAAGGCTGGTAGTTAAGCAGCTGGGAATTCGGGACTGAAGAGAAAGCTGGCCTGAAAGGGATTGCACTTCGTTTTTAAAAAATGGGAGGCAGACGGACGGCCTGGGCTGGTCGAAGAGTTGTCACGGCTGATAGAAGAATGTATTAGTGGAAAAAGGGAGGGAAATTAGGCAGAAAAAGGTAAGTGTTTCTCCTCTCCGTCCCTTCCAAACAAAACAGAAACTTTTCTTTTTTTGCAAACAAAGAGACCCCCAAACCCAAATTGGTAGCCAGCACCACACAAAAATGCACTTAATTTATTTCTCTTTTACCAGATGAAATTATAGCAGCTTTGCAAGCCAGGGGGTTGTTGGGGGGATTTGTTATTTCTTCCAAAAGACGACAAACCATCTGTGTTTCTTCCACGCAGTTTACTTTTCTCTCTGTTTCTTTATCTTCCATGTCTAGCGCTTCTCGTAGCATGCTGTAAGAAGGTGCATGGTTTTTAAATAACTCTTTGAATGTCTCCTGGTGGTGGCTACTCTTCTCTTTGGCCTCTGTCCCCTGCCCTGTCACCGTTAACGCCTGCCGCTTCCCACCGCGTAGCTGCTGGGGGGCTGTAACCCTGCTCACGGTCCGAGTTTGTACAAAACAAAATGCAAATGGTTTTCTGAAGTACAGAGGGGGTGTTCTTTAAAACTGGGGGCCTTCTGATGCTTGTCCTCAAATGAATGGTTTTACGGGGCCGGTCCTCACGTAGCAATCAGCGGACTCGGGTGTTCAAAAGGTTGCAGATGCAAATGAGGGCCCGCGTGTCTAACGCTGATGGTAATTGAGGGCACGCTTGCCACAGCTACCCACGGATGCGGGACGTGCCCCTTCTGATGGAGGAGATGTCCTGTAAATGTCACTGTGAATACGCTGACTTGTTTCCGGTACGTTGAGGTATTTTTCTCCTATTAGCAGGATGTTATTTTTCCACTGGAGAGTAGCTCGTGCTGTGTGACTTAGCTAGAGCGGTCCCTCCTTGCATCCCTGTAATTGATTTCTGATCTGTGTGTCTGCTTTGTTTCAAAATTAGCCTCGTGTGCCTGAGTGGGAGACACTGATTTTGAATGTATTCATTTGCAGTCCCATCCACCAGAGGACGAAGATACAGATGTCATGTTAGGGCAGAGGCCGAAAAATCCAATACATAATATCCCTTCTACACTGGATAAACAAACCAATTGGAGTAAAGCACTACCTCTCCCAACTCCAGAGGAGAAAATGAAACAAGATGCCCAAGTGATTTCTTCTTGCATTATCCCCATCAATGTCACTGGTACAAATCTCTTCTATTTCTTTTTGTATTTATTGCATGGTTCAAGGGAGGTCAAGTACTTATTTTGTTTAATTTATTTGAAGTCACAGGATTGTGCAGTCTGGGGTCAAAGACCCTAGCTCGAGGATTTAGTTTCTGGAAGACAGTGGGCTAAATTCATCCCTCATGCGTGACCATTGGAGTCACTGAAGCCGCATCTAGGATTAATTTAGCCCATATTTTCGGAGTCATGTTCTACAGTATAACATAACACTGGTTCCCTGTCTAAACAATGTACTTCTGTTGTGTATGTAACCTACAGTCTGTATTTACAAAGACCTCAAATAACTTTTTGAATGTAGCTGACTGAAATAATGCAGAAAGCCGCCAAAATTAATCATATGATTATCATGTGTAGCAGGAGAAGAGAAACTAGAGAATGTAGGCTACTATTTGCAGAGCTTTAAACATGCAAGGCATGACTGTGTAGCATGCAAGCCATCGCTCTGAGATCTCTTTACATGCAGCTATGCTGAAGGTATAGTAATGGCATTTTCTCTTATTTCTATAACATTTGCATACATTTGACTAGATTTATTTGAAGGAGAATTTGTTTATAGAAGCAGCAGGTATTTCACTTATTAAATGTGATAGATGACTTATTTCCAGAATCAGAAATCAGGCTGTTTTTCTCTTTCTCTTTTTCTCTTTCTCTCCTTCCAGAGGGCTATGGTAAACATAAAGTTGATCTGGCTTTTCCTCAATAATATTTCACACCAAGTTTTGAATAATGTAAGAGCATAAAGTGGGCTGATTTCCACGATTATAGAATTGAATATAAACTATCAGGAAAAAAGCAGGGAGTTTTCAGTTAGCCTTCATTCCCCAGAGAAAACGTTTATATTTCATTCTATTTTCCCAGTAACTGGGGGGCCGGGGGGGGAGGTCACAGCCCCTCATATCCCATTGCTCTTTCCCTTGTCTATCAGCGGTGTCCAACCTTCCCTCAGGACAGGCTGTGGGGTTCACCATGGTGCTGGGGAGGGCTGTGTGCCCACAGTCCAGCTTCAGCCTCCCAACCGAGGGGCTCTGAGTTTTTTGGGCTTGCAGCACATCTGTCCAACAGTCTCATGGTGACAAGTCCCCATCTGCTCCACCATCAGCTGCATGAATCCTCCCGGTGACGGCTACATGGTCCCGGTTGCCCTCCACCTCGGCAGTGGAGGTGACACTGCACTGTGCTGCCAGCTCTGCCCACCCGGGGAGGTGGCAGCCAGGAGCGGGTGTCCCTGCCACTGGGATGGTGCTTCTGGCCAGCTGAGGCCCCATGGAAAGTGGCCGGCTGGTAGAGCTTCCTGCATAGACCTTGCCAAGCTGGAGGTTGGGAGCAGCTGGTCAAGGTCACAAGGTTGGGCACTGCCGATAGAAATCCCCATGGAAAGTCATAGATAGTGTGGCCCATCTCCATGAGGTAGAGCTGGTGTTAAAATGATGCTCTTCCTAGATTCAACATAGGACCCTAGCTGCTGGTGTAGGCTTTCTGACATGACTGGTGTCACCTCATGCAGTTCAGAGGAGAGTTAGGTTCTGGGACCAATGTTAACTTTTCCAGTAATAGCCATTTTTGCCTAGACTCCACCTGCCATACATTGGAACCAAATTTCCACTGATCAGTTTTACAGATCAAGAATGGTATGTAATCTTCTGGATGTTTATGTGTATCATTCTCATTAGCACTAATGGGAATAATTTGTATGCGTCACGGAGAGGATATACCCTCTTCCACTTTCCTCTCGGAGATGACCCCCGTGCATCTGGCGCACAGAGCATGTTTGGCTAACTCACAGTTGCTGGAAAACCAGCAATGATGCTGATTGATTTTTTTGTTTCCAAGAGTTTGCTTTCGGTTCTCTGTTTTTTTGTTTTTTAAGCTTCTCCCAACCCTGAGAAATGTTCACTTTTTTGAAAATGACTGTTGTTGGAGTTTATGGCACTTTTGTTCCTTATTAAAGAAAGTTCTTCCTCTGCTTATTCCAGGGGCATTGGTGGTTACAGGACATCTGTCTGAAGCCTCTATTTCACTGTAGTAGATTTCAAGAAGAACTTTTACAAGAAAGTTACTTTTTAATGTTTTACATTGTTATGTAGTGTAATATGTATGTGTATGTCTGTGTATAATTATGTTTCCTATAATTATACGCTATTAAAATAGAGCTTCTTATCAGGATTCTTTTTTTTGTTTTGTTTTCCTTTTGTTTGGTTTAGTTTGTTTGTTTTTCTTAAGATTACAAACCACTGTACCAGCAATCCTTATGTTAGTGTTTTTATGGACCTGGCACATTTTTTTCCAACCTGTCCTATGTCAACTTTAGAGAGCATTGGTGTACAGTTGTGCGAAAAGCCAGCACAGATGGGCACTGGTCCTGTGGTGGGCCTCCTTTTAACTTTATTTTGACAACACAGTGTAATAAACAAAGTGAAAGACACCTCCCTGTGTTAATGCTATGGAACATAAAGAAAATGAGGAATTCCTGCCTATTCTGTGTTATCATGGTCATAAATATGGGTGCCTGTGAACTTGGGCTCCTAAATCCAAATTGAGGATTTTGACTGACTGCATGACCTGATTCTCAGAGCGGACTCCCAAGTATCCCACCATGTGCTGAGCACTTGGGAAAATCAGGCCACTTACTGATGCACACAAATAAATACCAGCTACCCGTTTCTGTCACCCTTGGCCATATATGATCATCATGAAGAATGCTCTCTAAACTCACATGGGGACTTGACCCCATTTTAGCTGTCTCCTTCCTTTTGAAATTTAGCCCCCTTGGTATATTGGTCTCCTAAGAAGTGCCCAACTACTGCAGTATGGTGTTATAACCTTAAATTGTTTTCTTACGCTTAGTTGCTTAAAATAAGTAAGGCTATAGCTGAACAGATTACTCTTTGCAGACAAGTTACTGTCATTGTCGCTGTGACAGATGGATAAATAGCTATAAGAAAGATGCCCTGTTACCAAGAGCTCTCAACTCTATTTTTCTTCCTGATTTTCTTTTCTTTTCTTTTTTTTCTTTTTTTTTTTTTCACTCCTTCTGTTATTTTTGGCAGACCAGGCTGCTGAGGGGGAGCTGGAATTAGATGTAAAACTGTGATATACTGTGATATAATTTACATAAGAGCTACATAAGGGCTCCCTTATGTTTATTCACAGGCTTAATCCAAGCTCACATACCTCCACTGTGTTCCAGCCATGAAAATTTGTTTACTATTTCTAAAGGCTAATGAGACCTATTTATGGGTTGCAGGAGTTGGTTTTGACAGAGAGGCTAGTATACGCTGCTCTCTTGTTCATTCACAATCTGTACTACAGCGGAGACGAAAGTTGAGGAGGAGGAAAACCATCTCTGGCATCCCCAGAAGAGTGCAACAAGAAATAGGTGTAGTATAAATACAAATCTTCCGTAGATAGCTTTCTAACCAACTTAAATTGCAGATATGAGCTGGTAGCCAGCCTTCCAAAGAAACAAAACCTCGGAAGTGTAAATGCTTGTGGAGTTTGGGAATGATGTGGTTTGGTTTTTTTGATTTACTACAGTAAGCAAAGCTATATTACTCCATATGGCCTTGACGGACGGGGGGCCTTACCGAGTAATATAGATGTACGTGTTCAGCTCTTATCGTGTAAATGTTAATCAGTTCTTTTTTTTTTTTCCCATTTTATTTCTGTTATGAACCCATAGTTACGTGCATAAAAAGTAACTAGATTAAGTGAAAGTTTTTTCTTGCGTGAGGGGAGCTTAAGGTAAAAGAACTGACAGATGTTGCTCAGAAGAGTGATGATGAGCTGTCACAACAGCCAGATAACTCACTCAGATGAGCAATTGTATATCCTCCTTAGAGACAGCTGCTGGTACCCTATGGGAAACTTTGCTAAATGTTCCTTTTATTTGTCACGCTTGTCCTTGATTCCTTCCTTTCATTCTTTATTGCCAAGGATATTTGCCCGAAATTGAGTGTCTTACTTCACTTCTTGTCCCAGGTAAATTAGGAGCAACTCTGTTGAGGGCAAATCCAGGGTAAAATTGGTTTTAACCCAAAACAAAACTAACAGGATCGTTATTTCTTAATGTTCATCTGCACCTGAAGATGGCTCTGGCATCTCGGTCCATTGCTGTGAAACTTGATGGGAAACAGAAGGAACGTGTTTATCACAGGGAATAAGCAACCAGAGAACCTATGAAAGAAAGATCCTGTTGCCTTGCAAATATTCTTGGTAGTAAAGAAGCAGATAATGGAAATTCTGAACAGACAGGTAGTCAAAATAGAATCATTTTTAGAAGCTCAGGGAGTGTTTTGTCCAGCAGCCGCTCCTGAAAACTGCCTTTAACTAGTTGGAATAGAGGGACAAAAACTGAAAACTTAATATTTATCTTAATATTTACCACAGCAAGATCAGCTCCATGTGGGATCACGTTGCAGAAATAGGAGAACTGAGATCACATTGCAGGACTAGGAGAATTTCCCCACCTCACTGGGCTGAGGTCTGTCTTACGTAGGCTCTTTGTAGCACAGTTAGATTTGGTCCAATGCTCAGCCAGATTAAAAGCAGAAAGAATCCAGCAGATAATGCTTCTTGGGTTGCTCCGCGGGTCGTCTCGCGCCGGGAAGCGTGGTGGAGCTGTCTCCCACTCACCCGGCTTTCCGTGTGTCCTAGATTCCGATGAGTCGCCGGTGGCGAGAGAGCGCAATGTGATTGTGCACGCGAACCCGGACTTCTCCAGCTCCAGCAGCAGGAGGTCGGGCACCCGGGACTCGGAGTGCCAGACGGAAGAAATCCTGATCGCCGCTCCTTCCCGGCGGCGGATCCGCGCCCAGAGGGGGCAGAGCGTCGTCGCCTCCCTCTCCCACTCCGCCGGCAACATCTTGGTGCTGGCGGACAACGGGGATGCCGTCTTCGCTACTGCTGTCAGCAACCGCATCCGCTCACGCAGCCTTCCTCGTGAAGGTGCCCGGGCCAGCGAGGGCCACCAGGATGCCACCACCAAGAATGCAGGGTATGAGGCAGAGCGCTTCCTAGCCGGCCAAGAGAGGATCCCGAAAAAGGGGAAGGAGGTCTTGAGCAAGCAGGGTTCACAAGAGTGCCAGCCCATCGGTTTGACTTGCCCTCAGCACCTGCACAGCCCCGAACACAGCATCGGAGAGAGGGGGAGGTCGCGGCTGTCAAGGATGGCTGATTCGGGCAGCTGCGAGATTTCGTCCAACTCGGACACTTTCGGGAGCCCCATTCACTCTATCTCCACGGCAGGAGTCCTGCTCAGCAGTCACATGGACCAGAAAGATGACCACCAGTCCTCCAGTGGCAACTGGAGCGGGAGCAGCTCCACGTGTCCCTCCCAGACGTCCGAAACCATTCCTCCTGCTGCCTCTCCTCCACTGACGGGCTCTTCACACTGTGACTCCGAGCTGTCTCTCAACACCGCTCCCAACGCCAACGAGGACTCCAGTGTCTTCATCACGGAGCAGTTTGGTGACCACGCGGACAAGGTCAGGGGCCACAGGGCGAGCTCCTTCACCTCCACCGTGGCGGATTTACTGGATGACCCCAACAACAGCAACACGAGCGACAGCGAGTGGAACTACTTGCACCATCACCACGACGCCTCCTGTCGCCAGGACTTCAGCCCCGAGCGCCCAAAGGCCGACAGCCTGGGATGCCCCAGCTTCACCAGCATGGCCACCTACGACAGCTTCCTCGAAAAGAGCCCCTCTGACAAGGCAGACACTAGCTCCCACTTTTCCGTGGATACCGAAGGATACTATACCTCCATGCACTTTGATTGCGGTCTCAAGGGTAATAAAAGCTATATTTGCAACTATGCAGCCGCGGGCTCCGAGAGCGGCCAGACCGGGAGCATGGCCTCCAGCCTGGCTGACTGCGCCTGGCAGGAGTGCGTGGGCCACAGGAGGCAGGGACGGCAGAGCATCTCGCTGAAGAAACCAAAGGCCAAGCCAGCCCCACCAAAACGCAGCTCGTCTTTGAGGAAATCGGAGGGCAGCACCGACCTTCCCGACAAGAAAGAACCAAAGATCGGCAGCGGGCAGCACGTCTCTCACACCGCCAGGGAGATGAAGCTGCCCCTGGAGTTTTCAAACACACCTTCCCGAGTGGAAGGTCCCAACCTGCCGGCCAAGCAGGAGCTCCCCTGGTCGAGCCAGGGGGATGGCGGGTTAAAGGACACTCCCTTCGACACCGCCGATATCCCCTCCTTTAAAGATGAAGGTGCTGAACAACCTCACTATGCAGACCTCTGGCTTCTGAACGACTTGAAATCCAGCGATCCTTACAGGTCCTTGTCCAATTCAAGCACCGCTACGGGTACTACAGTCATCGAGTGCATCAAGTCACCAGAGAGCTCCGAATCTCAGACGTCCCAGTCTGGGTCCCGAGCCACCACTCCATCCCTCCCCTCCGTCGATAACGAGTTTAAGCTGGCCTCCCCCGAGAAGCTGGCAGGGTTAGCCTCCCCCTCCAGCGGGTACTCCAGCCAGTCGGAGACCCCCACCTCTTCTTTTCCCACCGCTTTCTTTTCGGGACCCTTGTCTCCCGGGGGGAGCAAGAGGAAGCCCAAGGTACCCGAGAGGAAGTCCTCGCTGCAGCAGCCGCTCCCCAAGGACGGCACCGCCTCGGTGAGCAAAGACCTCGAGCTTCCCATTATACCTCCTACTCACCTCGACCTAAGTGCTCTTCACAACGTCTTGAGCAAGCCCTTCGCTCACAGGCACCAGCTGCACGCCCTCGGCCACGGCAAGCAGAGCGCCGTCGGGGAAGCCCTGCATCCCAGCCCTCCCTCTGCCCTCGCCATCACCCCCTCCGTTCTCAAGTCTGTCCACCTGCGGGCCGTCAGCAAGCCTGAAGGAGGGAAGCAGAAAGGCAGCACCCCAGACCTGCTCTGCATACAGGAGGCCGCCTTGATGGCCACCGACGTTTCTCCGGGCAAAATGAGGCCGCTCTTAGCTAAGAAACCAGTGTCGCGCCAGTACTCCACGGAGGAGGCCATAATGTCCTACATGGATGCTTCCCGGGCAGAAGCGGGGCCCGGGAAGCCACCTTTAGAGAAAAGCTCCTCTTTCAGCGGGCAGAACAGCTGCGAGAGAGAAGCTCTAGCTTCAGCCAGCATGGGGCTGGTTGAAACCAAACCCGGGAAGGACCAAGCACACCTGGCCGCCGAGCCCTTGCCGGAAAGCGCCCCGAATCAGACGTGTGCCATCTCCGTGGAGGGGTTTCAGAAGGGCTCGGCGGACAACGAGGAAGGGAAGAAAGCCAGCCAGGGAGCAGAAACGGAGCAGGACCTTCAGCAAGCGCAGGCTCAGCCTGAGCTCTCGGCCGGCAGCGAGGGGAGGCTGGGAGCCGGACCTGCGGGTGAAAGCCCAGGTCAGGCCGAGGGGGCGGCTGGCAGCCATCAGCTTAAGCACCAACCCGACCTAATCCACCACGTGCCTGGGAGCGTCAGCTACGAAGCGGAGATGATGGCAGCAGCGAGCTCACCCGGCGGAGCGAGCTGCAAGCAGGAAAACGACGTCGCATCAGGTATCCCAACCAAAAGTGCCTCGGATGACGGCAGGGCAGAGGAGACAGCGGGCGGCGCGGAGGAGCCTTCGCTGAAAGGTCAGTTGTGAACCCTTTCTGTGCTATACCTGACCCTGTGGCCTCAGGCGTGACCGATGGTGGAGTCAAAAAGCAGGCTGGAGCTGCAAATCGCCACGTCTCTGTAGGTTTAACTACAAAGTGCCCCCCCCCCCCAGCCAGGCAGCCCAAAGATATTTTATGCTTTTTCAATGCATTCAAAGTGTATTTCTCTGATGTTTATGTCCTCCCTTGTGCAGCGTTTCAGATGAAAAGAGAAAAGGGAGGAGCGTTAGCCCTGGGTAGAGAGGAGCTGTGTTACCACAGCCCCACAGTAAACGGCAGATCACAGAATCACAGAATCACAGAATACATAGTAAACGGGAGATCCTGGGTTTGGTCCCTAGCATTGCCCCCATTATGGGCTCCAACGTGCAATGTACGTGATGTTTAGGTTAGAGGATAAAGTCTGTATGATGGTACCACCCACTCAGTTGTGAACCAACCTGGTGTTGCGAAGGGTGGTGGGGTCTTGACTCACGGTGTGGCCTCTTTCCTTGTTCAAGAGTCCTCTCCAAGCGACGACTCCATCGTGTCTCCGCTGAGCGAGGAGCTGCAGGCTGATGCTGAGGATGTCTTTGTGTCTCCAAACAAACCCCGCACTACCGAGGATCTGTTTGCAGTCATTCACAGGTGACCTAACCTCGCAGCAACGGGGAATGGTAACGTGCACCCCTGCACAGTTGCCCACTAACAAGAGCCGCAGGATGGTTATTTGATGGTTAAGTCTTGTCCTGAAACTACCTTCTTTATTGAATTTAGTTTTCTAAAAGGCAGCTTTTAAAAGGTGCTTTATTACGGTCTGGTGTGCACTCCATGAGTATCTCCATGGCATGTGTAGGATGCTTTACAGATAACAACATCAGGCCATTCTCTTTAACAAATGTGTCTCTCCAGATAAAACTAGCAAAGTGGTTCTTGCCTTCTGCACACCAGCTCTATTCTGGTGAGTGAGTCATTGTAGCGAGAATGATGAAAAAGCATCTCTACAATTTTAGAATATTATGAATTCAGCTGAAATTTGAGATCACAACTGAAATTACAGATTTCTGATATTGAACAGGTTATGCTGAGTATTATTATTGCCTAAGACCACCCCAGAAGGCCAAACGTATCCTGGGCTGCCTTAAAAGAAGCATGGCCAGCAGGTCGAGGGAGGTGATTCTGCCCCTCTACTCTGCTCTGGTGAGACCCCACCTGGAGTACTGCATCCAGCTCTGGGGCCCCCAACATAAGGACATGGACCTGTTGGAGCACGTCCAAAGGAGGGCCACAAAGATAATCAGAGGGCTGGAGCACCTCTCCTATGAAGACAGGCTGAGAGATTTGGGATTGTTCAGCCTGAAGAAGTCTCCAGGGAGACCTTATAGCAGCCTTCCAGTACCTGAAGGGGCCTTAAAGAAAGATGGGGACAGACTTTTTAGCAGAGCCTAAAGTGAGAGGACAAGAGAGAATGGCTTTAAACCAGAAGAGGAAAGATTTAGACTAGATATAAGGAAGAAATTTTTTACGCTGAGGGTGGTGAAACACTGGCATAAATTGCCCAGAGAGGTGGTAGAATCCCCCGCCCATGGAAACATTCAAGGTCAGGTTGGATGGGGCTCTGAGCAGCCTGATCTAGTTGAAGATGTCCCTGCTCATTGCAGGGGAAGGTGAACTAGCTGACCTTTAAAAGTCCCTTCCAACCCAAACTGTTCTATGATTCTAAGACTCTGTATGCATTGTCGTCTTTATAAAGAGCTGATTGTGCATATATTGTTTTAGAAGAACTGGCTGAGGCTGAGGGACTGTGTGGCTCACTGCCTCATTCATTGCACAAGAGCTATCGTGGCTTAAAGTGCTGTTAGTCACTGCTAGCTTCCAGTATTTGATAGAGGAATTATGAGAACTCTAGCTAATATGAAAGCATGGTCAATCTGTGAAACTCCAGACCAGCATTATGTGTTACACTACAAAGATAGTGTCTGAAGGAGTGTTCCTTTGTGTTTTCACAGATCAAAAAGGAAAGTTCTCGGGAGAAAGGATTCTGGAGACCTTTCTGTAAGAAACAGGTTGAGAGGTTCGTCTGGGACTAGCAGCCAGCCCCCCGCCAGCAGCGCGCTGCCCACCAGCAACGTGCCACCGGCCAGCAGCGTGGGCACTCCCATAAGCAGTCAGAGGTCCCCCGGGCTCATATACAGGAATGCCAAAAAGTCCAACACATCCAACGAGGAGTTTAAACTACTGCTCCTTAAGAAGGGCAGCCGGTCCGATTCCAGCTACAGGATGTCCGCCACGGAAATTCTGAAAAGTCCTATTTTGCCCAAATCTCCCGGAGAGCTGACGGCGGATGCCCCGCAAAGCCTAGAGGAGTCTCCCCCCGCGGTGAGCCCCGACGCGTTGTCCCCGCTCTCCCCCTGCTCCCCCAGGGTCAACGCGGAAGGATTCTCCTCCAAGAGCTTCCCCATGTCGGCGTCTTCGCGAGTGGGGCGGTCCCGGGCCCCCCCGGCAGCCAGCAGCAGCCGGTACAGCGTGCGGTGCCGGCTGTACAACACCCCCATGCAGGCCATCTCCGAAGGGGAGACGGAGAACTCGGACGGCAGCCCCCACGATGACCGGTCTTCTCAGAGCTCAACGTAGGGGCCGGGCTGCCGATGCCGCTCGGGCTCTGTAAGGATGTGAATATAAAGAGGCCAACGCTGTAGCAGTCAGGAAAAAAGAAAAAAAAAAGAAAAAAAAAAGAAAAAAAAAAAAAGGAAAGAAAAAAAGAAAAAAAAAAGTGTTTGTGTTTGTAAGACGCTGACGAAACAGAAGGACTACAGCTGTAGCTATTTATTAAGTTACATCTTCTAAAGTAGGGAGATACACAATGTCTGCTCTGTTTTCCTTTAGCTTCATTTGGTTTGTCCCACTCTCATTTCCGTTGTCACTGTAGATTTCAAGGCTATACACTTTCCATGGAGTTAAAACTGACTTTTGGGTTTGGTTTTTTTTTTTTTTTTCCAGAAGCTGCCCATCTAGAAACAAACAAATCCCTCACTGTAGTGCTTCCCTAGGGAAAAAAAAAAAAGAAAATGCTCTTGAGGATTGGTATTTTTCTACACTAAAATGAGCTGAAACAAAATTTAGAAGAAATTAAGAAAACATATGTAAATACCATATTTTTGATAAAAATTTGTAAATAGAATTATCAAAAAAAGCGGACACGTGGCAAACGATTTACTGCATAACAGCTTTGTTTAGAGAAGACAAAAGAAGTCAAATGTAATAACTGTATTCTGTGAATACCATTTTCATATCAAACACAAAAAGTTCACATGGCCACCGATAAACCGCGTTCGGTGCAACAAGCCTGGAGGACGACATCATTGAGCAGCGGAAAGGAGGGATTTTTCCGCCTTTAGGTGAGGAAACGGAAAGGCTGGCTCTGACGGGATTAAAGTAACCACTTGTCTTTCTAAGGCAGCTCCCGAGAAGCTAACTGGAAAGAGCAGCTGGGAGGGTTACCGTGAGGATCGGTGGGGAAGGCCAGCGTGCTGCCGGCAGAACAAAAAGTCGTGTCTGATGCAAAGCCCCAAAGGGTCCCATCCCACAGCCTCCCCCGGGCCTTGATTCTAGCAGGGATCGCTTCAGAGAGAGGAGAGATGCGAGAAGAAATAGTGCTTAACTTTCATATTCCTATTAGGCTATTGGGATGCATAACACGGTCATAACCTGGTAACTATAATAATCTTTCAACACAATTAGTTTCTGGTTCGTAAAGGAAACGAATAAATTATAAGCATGCAAGAAGCGCTTTCGATTTATCAGTAAATATCCGCGACGAGTTTTCAGTGAAGCTTTCTCTTTGTGCTGATGAGATTCATGCTACCTAAATATTTACAAAAATGACACTGTGAAAACGTAGCTGGGAAATAGGTATGTGTATGCATTATTTATATTCATTGCTGAGCTGGGAAGGGGAAAGCTCTGGTTCATCGTGCCAGCCACGTACAGTTGGGATCTTGTCTGGGTTTACCAGAAACGCAGAACAGGGTGGGGGACTGGGGTGGGGTGGGAAAGGAGACAAATCAAAGCAGCGGCTTTGATACAAATGAAGGCAGGGAAATAAAAGCTGAATTACTTGAAGTTACTTGAATTTTCTCATCTTAAAACTGCAAGAACGTGTACTTTTAAAACTTAACCCGTGAGTCGCTTTATACTTTTAATTTTTAAACAGAATAAAACCAACAGGCCTGATTCTCCTTTGGGCTTTGGGTCACCATGGTTTCCATCGATATGGCCCTGTCCGTGCTACTCGGAGAAGAGGGCCCTCTTTGTCCAAAATTGATGCAGTTGGTGTTGGTTGCAGTAAGATATGGTTTGGAGTAGAGGAAAAGTTAGTGCAGAGAAAATAGCGCGAGGAGAAACATGGTGTGCAGTGGGACAGGTCGAGTAGGATGGCAGAAAGAGCGTACTTTGATAGTAAAGAAATCGACTAAAAGCTGGCTTTAAGCATAAGTAAAGGATAGGGAAGCGGGATGTGTGAAATGGGTTTTTACTAGGTTTTTTTTTTTTCCTTTTAATCATGTAACACATAAAGCTGAGAGTTTCTAAAAGCGGGCAGAGCATGTTTTAAAGAGGAAGGTTCTACCTAAAACTGTTACGATTTTAAAGAGTCTGAGCAAGTCAGAATGGTTTTAAAAATCCCCAGTGTTATTCCCCATAAGGTTCACGTCTGATTTCGTCTAGGGCTTACCACAAGAAATATATAATTCAGGGTTTCCTACCGTCCCCCTGTGTAGCCTGGTTGTGTTTGGTGTGCAAGGTAGAGTCGCTGTGCGTGTGGTACGTGTGTTGGGAAGAGGGGTGGTCCATCGGCTGAAGGGCTGCAAATTCAGGAAGTCTGAACAGTCTAAAAGTCTAAAACAGTTTTCAAAAAGTTAATGGGAGCAACAACAAGGAAACAAAAGGCTAATCGCATTAGTAGGTTCGTTAAAAGTCTGATCACAAGTGAAGTGAATGAGTGAGAATGTTTTAAGAGGAAATGATTAGTGTGTAACAAACCACTTTCAGGAGAACATGAGTAAAGGAAGTTTAGATATTGGGGAGAAAATCCTTAGTTTGTCATCTTCAGTCATTTTCCTTAAAAATTTTAGCAGGAGCACTTTTACAATAGGTTTAATAGTCCTGAATTATCAGTCAAAACTGTAAAGAGAATACAGCTGAATTGACTTTGATGATAATCACTTTTCATTACCAATCAATGATTTCGTGGGGACCATAAATAAATATATACACACTAAAAAAAAATTTTGACTGGAATGGTGAGGCAATACATCATGTACGAAATGGCCACAGAACAATCCCACAAAAATACAGTCTTTCTTCTTTTGTTTCATTTCTTAGTTTATATCTAGCAGAGTGAAACCCAAATAAAGACAGATTCTAAATCCACTATGAAGAAAAGAGTTCATAACAAACGTGAGTGAGAGGAAAACGAGTGGCAGGAACCCCTGTAGCGTTCCAGGTGCCATCAAGGCACCAGAGGACAAGCTGCAGAGCGAAGGGAGCATCACTCACCTCTAGAGACAGGGTACAGTACATGCATCAGGTAACTGCTGAACCGTCATTTCAACCTACTGTTCCGTTGTTTGCACTGATGTTATGGAACTTATTTCTGAAGTTATACAGCTGTGTATTCTGAAAAACAACATTTTCCCCCTTTTTTTTTCTTTTTTTTTTTTTTTGTTTTGTTGTGGCAGCATAGAGGACATGGAATAGTTGTAGCAAATAAAGCATATGTTTGCTTTTGCCAAAGGTCAGTGATTGAGTGCATTTGCTGCAATGGTGGCAGATAGAGAAATACTGTAGGTTATGACTTAAAGAATTTAAAAAAAAAAAAATTAAGAAGGTTACAGTGTAACTATTTTGGTACTAGCACCAGTTCATGCTGGCAGAAAAGACAATGGTTTATGGACTTGCATCCATTTTGTATTTTTGTAATATTTGTAAATATGAACTTTTTAAATTGTTGCAAAGATGGTTTCTTTTGTAAAATGTTTTCAAAGTTTACATTAAATCCAAGCCTTTGTATATTTTAGAGCTGTGCAACACTTTAAGTCTTGTATTTATTTTTAGTAAAAACGGTGACAGTTTCATTGTGAACCCCTCTCAAAAAATGTGTCGGAAAAGTTTGATTACCTAGAAAGTGTGTATAGAAACTGCAAATAAACGTGACTGCAATTAAATCATACCTTCTCTTTATTTTCTTGCAATGAAATGTGAAGTCTAACCTACGGACTACAAGTGTGCTATTTCCAAAGGTAAGTCTCAGCACATTACATGTTTCAAACTATTTAATCATGTTTTCTCTTCAACTTGTTTTTTTTTATAAACTGCGTAAGGGGAAACCTATATCCAAACCGTCATTGACATTAAGTGGAATTTTCCCCACAAGTGCAATTTTTCCAGAATATAAAGACTGCTGAATTTGCCCCACATCTTCAACATGCAAGAAAAAGGTAAGAGAAAGAAAGCTGGGATAAATAATAGCGGGAAGACTGCTACTTTGTCTTCAGCTGGAAAACAAAACAAATTACACCACTTCAGACCCAAGGCATAGAGAATCCAGTGACTGAACCTTATCAGATAAAGCAAGCCGTGAGCAAAAGGCAGGCCATAAATTACAAACACAAACTCGGAAGTGCAAACACTATTTTAAAATGGTTATCAGGAGGTTGAAAAGTCAGGACATTCTGTATGGCTCTTCAGAAATTGCATACCTGCTGGAAAAGACGATGGGAAGATGCACATCATCAAGCTTTAGTTTCAGCTGTCATTTTGTCAGTAGCTTTCCAACACTGTACTTGGTATTTAAAAAACACATATGGAAAGAAAAAAAGCTCAAATGTGCTGCTATGGTGCCTTAGAGTGGAAAAAATCAGGTCTGGGGAGTGCTGCTGGGCTATCTGCAATCAAGCTTTGCAAGGATGTGAGGATTGCCCTGACGGGTGTGGTCCTAGAGTAGTCTCCAAGTGGGAATCAGTTCCTGTAACATTTGGTTTAACCAGATGGTCAGGCATTTAATGATTATGTAGATCATTTCCTGTTGGATTGTGTGCCTTTCCCAATCCAGAAATAGAGATAAGCAAGATCCGTAGGAAGAGCTTAGCCCGCAGAGGCAGGCACAAGCTGGTTTTCATCTGCCCACTGTACGCCTGTGGGGGTTTTTTTCATGCTTGGTGGAAGAGAAGATGAAACATTAAACTACATAAAATATACCCATTACAAAGTGAAATAATTGTAACTATTTACAACATTATGTAAAGACAGTGACTTCGATAAGCCTCTAAAATCTCCTCTGTAAAATCCAGGCTTCATTGTGTACCTGTGGGTAGGTATGGGTACATGGCATACCACTCTCAGGCCCTCCAGTGATAACACAAACTAGATACTATAAGTATTATTGGGTATCAATATCTAGTATACAAGCTCTTCTCAGGTTGTACTATGCTGTTTCTCAGCAAAGCATCCCACCATGCTGTGGAGATATATATAAGGAACATTTATAAGCATGCATGGGAAAAGTTATGTGTTTGGGTTGGTTTTTTTGGGAGAATAGTAAATCATGGAATCATAGAATCATCTGGGTTGGAAGGGACCTTCAAGGTCATCTAGTCCGACCCCCCCACAGTCAGCAGGGACACCCCCAACTAGACCAGGTTGCCCAGGGCCCCATGGAGTCTCACCTTGAATATCTCCAGGGATGGGGCCTCAATCACCTCCCTGGGCAACCTGTTCCAGTGCTCCACCACCCTCACAGTGAAGAATTTATTCCTAATGTCTAATCTAAATCTGCTTTTCTCCAGTTTAAAGCCATTACCCCTTGTTCTGTCATTGACAGTCTTTGTAAACAGGTTCTCCCCAGCCTTCCTGTAGGCCCCCCTACCTGAGTACTGGAAGGCCACTATTAGGTCTCCCCGGAGCCTCCTCTTCTCCAGGCTGAAGCACATGGGTGTTAAAACCTAGATGCCACATTGAAAATTTTGGCACCTTCTACCCAGAGTGAACTTCAACAGCTACCCAACGAATCTTCCTGTAGTGTTCACAAAGACTTGGCAAGTCGGGCTACACACAGAACCCCGTGGGGTCCTCCTTGAGCCAGCAAGTGGGAGGCACGTCTTAATCTCCACCTCTTGCTGGAGCTTTTAATCAGACTTAATAAGCCTGAGCCCCCCCTACCCTCACAGGTTGCTGGCCATGGGGCTGTCCTAGCAAAGGGCGGCAAGGCAAAGGGGGTGGACGTTCCCATGCCGCAGTTTTCAATTCAAGCCCCGTGTCTTGGCAGCGAGGGGCATCCAATTATCACACCAGTAAGATGAGGCGTTTGGAAGAGCCAGCTGTGCAGAGGCAGGCTGGCAGCCCCCCAGGCCCCCACAGTCCTGTGGGTATGCAGAGTGCCCAGGGACATTTGGCTGGGGATGCCTGGGAAAGCGACAGCAGCTCCAGCACTGGGTGGCCACCGGGCAGGAGAAGGAAAGGTGTTTTGGTGCCTCTCTTTGGACGTGGGGGCTGGCCAGGCCCTGGGGCAAGCGTCTTTCCTGGGAAGAGGGCGGCCAAGTTCTGGCTGGGATCCTAGCACTGATTTCTACCTACATTTCTATCGGCGCTTACTTGACAGACTTCATTTTCTACAAACTCATTTTTGGTTGTATTAATTACAATTCCCTCTTTTAATTCCCTACGTGCTGATAGAAGCATATTATTAACTGTTTTGATAGTTTCCTGGGATTAAAGTTAGGTTGATGGGTTTTTAATTACCCAGCTTGTCCCATTTGTATTTTTAACTACTGGCACATTAGAGTTCTTTTGAAACTTTTCTAGTGCCCAACATTATTGGTCATAAAAATCCTCCAAATCCTCCAATCCTCCATAAAAATCCTTACTTCTTGAATGCAAGTTATCTAGTGCTGCTGACCAAAGCTGTCTATCTTTAATTACTTCAGTATGAATGGAAGAGGTTTCACATCATATCTGTACTCCCCACAGAGAAAACGGAGGAAACGTATCTGTAAGGAATCTGTACCCTCCAACACAGGCTCAAGGTCAGGACAACAGAACAGGTAAGCAGCTAAATACAGTCTTTCCCACTAGATTCACTTGCCTTGACATTTAAACTTCCCTGGACTTGGAAAATCTGCTAAGAGAAATTTATCCTATAACAGATGCCACTATTCTCAGTGAAGTGTACTGTTTTCTTAGAAGATAAATTAAAATGCTGTGCAAAGCGGCAACGGTAGTAACGGTATTGTGGGTAGGAGTGGTAGCTCTCATGCATTTTCACTCTCAATAGGTTGCTGCCAAGGTTATTATTTTTTAACAGATTATCGAGCTCTGACACGAATACTTCTTACTATTGCCATTTCCCAAAAAAAGGCTGCAAACCATAAGCTATTTCTGACAGGAAACAAATGCCCTTACATCTTTCTTTTTAGTTCACTGCCATCTTCAGCTGGGGTGAGAGGAGAGGCAGGAACTGCTCCTTCAGTCCCAAAAAGAAGAATTAACAGAGGCCAAGGAAATGCCATTTCTTGATCAACTCATAGGTTAATTCAGACTGTTCATCCATATTACAGCAACACCCTCCATACCAAGAAGTGAGGTACTAACGAGGCAGAAAAATAAGCCTTGTTGTTAGTGGCATCTGGACAAATCTGAGAAGCCTTGCCCTCTAAGAATGGTTTTGCGATAGTTTTGATTTAATGTTAGGCTGCTCTTTTTTTTATATCACACAAAAAACATGCATCTAAAAAATAAGTGTTCATCCAATGAGTTTTCTGTGGAAATTCACACTATAGTTTTCACCGAGGCTGAGAAAATTAACTAACACGACTGAACCTGTGGCTTGGCCAGTCTGTTAACAAGCCACACTGAATCTAGATCAGGTGGCTTAGTTCTATTACAAGCCTCCAAAGCTGAAAAAATAACATCAGATAAAAACATTTTTATGAGTAAAGGACATTAAAAATCTGTAGGATCTTGGTACTCAGTTCCTAAGTGGTCAAGTTTATTTATACATTTAAAAGGCTGGCACAGGACTATTATATTATTACTAGGATTTAGTGTTCATCCTGTAATGTTCTCCTATTAAAAAGTACCTCCTTGTGGTATTCATTAAAGGCTTGCTCAGCAGCAGTCAGACACCCCTTACATAGTTTCTTCATCATGGGTAATGAATACAAATGGCTTTATGACCATTTAAGAATAGTAGAGCTTCAAAAATGAATCCTCTAGATTGGGCTTCACACTTTCACTCTTTTCTTGGGTGTGGTATATAATTTAAGAGCTGACCCAAAGCAAAGTGAATTAAGTGTAGATCATACCCTCTAAGTACCAATGCTAAACTGTATTATCCTAATACTGTGATCCATTTCTGTGCATTTCACTTTTTCAGGCCAGTTGAACCATCAGAGAAATCCTGATAATGTAAATTTAGGCTGTAATTTCTGTTACTTTCCTCAACTCAGTGCACAAAAGAAGTTTGGGGATGTATGAAGATCAGTGTGTAACTGGAATTAGTCCCCAACTTCACGTGTCATTTGTAACATCCAACACTATAAAATGCCAAGTTTCAAACCTGAAATGAAGACATTACAGAAACAGATAAAGTAGGTAAACTTGTATTTTTATTTTATTGGATCAAATAACCATAAGTAGCAGAAAAGATGGCCAACAAATTAATTTCAGAAAAATTACAGTGAAAACTGATCCAAGAAAAATAAATTCTTAGTAGATCAGATCTGCTCACTCCTGGAACTGATTCTGCATTCAACTGCATTAACTATTAGCTGACTCCTTTCCCTGTAACGATCTCCTGCCTACCTCCACTTCCTTCAGTTTTCTCTTCAAATGTATCCTGCCTTTTACATGATTAGTAAGCCACTGAAACAAATTTTGTAAAAATATATAAGAATGCCTACCACTTTATATTTTCAAGACAAAACTTTCTAAACCAGCATGCTGTAAGTCAGAACAGAGACGTTACAGCCTCTAGTGTATCAGACCATTCCTTTTAATTTAGCTTCACTTTCTAAAGACTGCACTCTCTCTTGGCCCTGCCTTAAATATCTTTCTTCTCTCAGCTCCTGCAAATTACAAGACTACGGAAATCAGATACCCAGCAAAGTTTTTCCAACCTGTTTCCTTTCAAACCCAACATTTCTGTATCCTTGCCCTGAGGGCTTCCTTTCCATACTCAGCAGTATCCCCTACCCTCACTCCGGTACTGCACCACTTAGTCTGTGTCTCAGTACCTCATTCAGCATCTGTGGCCTCCCAAGATTTACCTGTTCCCAAATCCTTCTTTTCAGGGACTGGTTCCTTACATCCATACAAAATGTTGCCCTATCATTAAAAAGTTCCTCTGTTTCTGCAGAAAAAAATAAAGGGAAGATAAAACCTGGTTTTGAACACAGCATTGTTGCCTGGGCTCCATGTTACCCAGGCATTCTCCCATCACCTCGAGCTTTATGGAAAGTGAAACTTACTCAGTGCTCTTTCAGCCCAGTACTTTAACTGGAAAGCACCAGAAAATTCTGATGTGTTTTGCTGAAGAAACTTGTGCAAGAAGTTGAATGTACTGCACTGATTCAGTTCAAGATGGGGCTTGCAGATGCTGGTCTTCCACCTTGCTATCTATGTCAAAGAGAGAAAAGGCTTTTAAAACCTGCTAAAGATCAGGAAGTGATAAAGGAAGCAATGACTAATCCTTCAGGTTCTCTCAAAATGCTTATGAGGAAATAAGGCTAAGTCTATAAATAGTCCTTATATATGTGTGTAATTCTTACACAAGCTTTCTGACAGATAAGCAATTATCTGCACACTATATAGCCATTATGCCTTTCTCATCAATACACTCACCAGCTTTTAAATCTTAAATTTTAAATCTTTTAAATTTCAAATTAGTAGTTCTGTCTGCCTTGAATCTTTCAGATATAAGCTGTAAACTTTAGAAACAGCATACACGTTGGAGGAAAGTATACCGTGCCAGATTCAACACCTAAGAGAAGGAAGGCCGCCACAGGTCCATGCCCACAGGTTCAATCGGTAGCAAGGCAGGGGGTGTGTTCCCATTACGCACAAAAAAGCACGCATATATACCACATTGTAAATATATATGTGGCCAGTCACAGAGATCCTGGTAGGGCTCTTGGCTGGACCTGCAGGGATGGCCCTTCTGTTACCTTGCTTTAGTACCTCCATGCTGCTGCTGAGCTGGTCCTTCAGGCTGTCTGTCATCGGCCACTCTGTTGCCCCAGACCATGAGCAGATCAGGTCTCATCACCATCCTGGATCTTCTTCCAATCCCTCTCCAAACATATTCACAGAATCACAGAATCTTCATCGTTGGAAGGGACCTTTGAGATCATCAAGTCCAACCATTAAAAAAAAATATATGTACATATTCCCCCAGAGATGTCCTTGTGTTTTCAGAGGGGAGCGTGAGCACACCCAGGGGATGTCTAGGCAGGGTGTCCTGGCCCTGCCACTCCCCTTATCCCCAACCCCCAATTAAAAAAAAAAAAAGGGGGGGGGTTGGTGTACAGAGACAAAGGAGGTAGGGGTAGGGCAAGAAGCAAAAAATCATTAATATAGGTAGGTGAGGCTGAAATTTCTACGTTTTGTCCCTCCCAAAGTGTGGCGGTGTGCTCTCCCTGTTTTGCCCCCCCACCAGCTCCTGCCCGGCCTTGGCCATCACAACAGCAGTTGTGATAACTTGCACCCGGACTTTGGGGGATGGCTGGCAGCATAGTCAAAATACTGTCTGGAGTATCTGCCCCAACAGATTCTCGGTAAGTGACTAATAGCATGCTAAACTCTGAAATCTTAGCTAAGTAATGTAAAGGATTGATTACGCATATATAATCCTTTAGACATAAACAATTTACCAAATCTGGGACTAGGATTGGATCCAGCTGCACCTAGACTCCTCTCTAAGAAGTTTAGAAAGCAAGGGGATCCTTTCTCAACCTCATGACTCAACAGGAGGGTCTCCCTGACAGCTTGTCTGCCCCTGTCCTCTGTGCAGTAAATAATGAGTGTACCCTGACATCGAATCTCGTAAAACACTATCGCATTTACTATTGGTTTTATCGCACTTACTACTGGTTTTGTTAAATCACTGTTTCACCTCAATAAATATTTCTCTGCTTCACTCTAACTAGTGAAGTTAATCCCTCCGTCTGCGACACAAAGGCCCACAGTGTCCCTGTCTGAACTGCAGCCCTGACACCTCATTCCGTAGTTAAAATTCTGAGGACAACCTTTTGCAGCCGGTTAATACCCCTCTGTAACTGGAGTCTTCCTATTCCAATAGCAGTTTGTGATGAACCAAACCCGACGCTGATGGCAGTAAGATCACCAGACGTAAGGGCACGCTGACACCCGGGGCCGCGGGCAGCACACACAGGAGGCCTGAAGGCCGCACCTTGGAGTTACCCACGGCTTTGCCCTCCCACCGAGACCGGGAGAGCAGCCCCCCTCGGCCAGGCCTCGGCTAGCAGGGGGCGAGGCAGCACACCGCGGAACCACGCCGAGGGCAGAGCAAGCCGGGAGGCGAGAGCCGGCGCCTGGCATCGCACCTCCGGCGGCGGGGAGGAGACGGCGGGCGGGCGGGCGGCTGAGGGAGAAAGGCGGCGGCACCGCCTCCATCCCCCCCCGCCCGCCGCTTCCCCGGCTCCCGTTTGCCAGGCGCGCCCCCGTGCCCAGCGCGCAGCCGCACTGCTTCCAAACAGTTTTGTTGCTCACGTCGGAGAAGCCGCTTCCGTTTCCAACGCCGCATTCCGGCCACACCTGCCTGTGCCGGAGCCCCGGCTCGCTCCGCCGCTTTACCCGCAACGAGAAGGACAGACAGCCCCCCTTCCCCC